ATTGTATGATTAGAAGTTTTGGTCAACCCGGGTAATTAACGTGCCTGGCCTTCCAAAAGCCCATGGTTCGAATTCGACCAGGACCCGTTTTTTAAATATACGTCACTGTAGTTTGTTTGCCTATTTTTGTCGGCTCAGTTGCTAAAGCACCAACTTTGCTTATGATTTGTGCAAGTTGAAAAAATGAGTTTACTTTGGGTGTAGTGATTTAATAGTAATTGAATTTGGTGAAACTTTGCAAGTTTTTCCAAAGTTGTTTTTGTAGTTGCTTGAAGTTTTTGTTGTTTTGGATGTTTATTCTATCCTAATTGGTTTAATATTGGTTTTATAATCCTGATATTGGTTTAAACATGATATTGGTTTGATAGCAAACATTCAAAAAGGTTTTTTTTTTGCCTGGTTAGAGTTTGTCAAATGAACTCGCTTCAGCAAGTTATTGCATCAATTCCTATATTTTAGGTCATTGCTGAGTTAAAGTGTATCACGTATTGTAGCTAAAACTCTGCTAGATTAAATAGTAGATTTTTACAACTCGCAATGTGTCGCTGGAAGTGATATGTAAATTGAAGAGACCAGTTTGTTAGGTATTTTCTGATGTTTTGGTTTCAAACTTGGATCGCAAGTCTTTTTGATCTTATTAGTCTTTGATCTTAGTTTTTGATCTTATATCTTATTAGTCCATCTTTCTCTTGGGTTGCTTTTCTCGCACTATCCAAAAAATCTATGGCTCCACTTTGTTCACATTTTTTAGCATGAGAAGCGTATGTTGCAAGGAGCCCCCATTTGTGACAACACAGTTAGTTTGTCGTTTCAATGTTGTCTATTCTGGTGTCTGAGACTGATTCTTGGGTGATAGGCCTAGAAGCCGAAGGGCCTACAAACCGAAATCAAGATTACCATTCCAACAAGCCGAAAATTAACCGGGTTAGGCCTCCCGGTTGGTTGACTAAAAAAATTAATCGTCATGTTTTTTTTTGTTTTCGTTTGAAGCCAGTCTTATTTTTACTGCCTAGCTTCTCATATCTAGTTTTGATCCTTTCTTGAAAACAAAGGAAGAACTTAAGCTTGGCTTAAAAAGTTTAGAAGATTTTAAATTGTTGAGTTTGTTATTAGGTCAGGAACAGCAAGATTGCCAGCTTTGAAATTATGTTGCTGTATTCAGCACCACAATTTTTTTTATTATATGATTTTTTTTCATCATGACATTGATTTATATACTTATGAGTTATTCAAATTTCCAAGTTATTCAAAGTTTGACGGATAGCTGAACTTAGATTCGACAAATTAAAGCAAGAAAAGCATTGAGTTTAATACAATTTTAAGTTGAAATTGAATTGTAAAACCATTTCACCATTTCTCAATATAATCTGAAAGATCAAACGATTTTTTGACAAATGTTCTTTTTTTAATATCCAGCAAGAGTTATCAAATCGGAGTAACAAATAATTTCTCGTTAAAATTTTGTCTGACGGAATCACTGAATCATTTTGCCACAAATTAAGCTTTTGTTTTTTTATGTTAGCTGTAATCTTACCAGCTTCGATTTTGTTTAGTTTCAACTTGTTTTTCTTCGCTGAAAAAAATGGGATCTTAACAACTATCCCCCCCCCCCTTTGAACCGTGTTGACTATTTCCCCACCTATGCATGTATTATTTTTGACAACTATTTCTGTATAAAACATACATTTCGAAAATGTCTAAAATTAATTGGGTTTTCATTTTAGCGCATTCGTTTTTGTATTACTCACTATTTATATAAAACCTACGTAAGAAAAATTATTATATATAATTTCTGAAAATTGATTATTTAAGCTATTGAAAATGTGGCCTCCAAAATTGAGTTTCTGAAAATCGAAATGGGGGGGGATAGTTAACAAGATCCAAAAAATTTGAATGAGTTGAATGATTCGGGCATATGCTGTACCGGCTCCGTCTCCTTTTGTTGTGTTGTTTGAAGAGGTAAAATAGATTTTTTTTTGCGTGTGTGTGTTGTGAAAAAGATAAAAATGAAGCGCATAAAATTTTTTGAGCGTTTCTTCAATAGCTCAAAAAAAATTTTGGCTCAAGGGGTGTTAACCATAACATTTTTAGCTTAGTTACTGATTGGTAACGCTTTGTTAATTTTTGCTTTGGTTACAGCTCACTCTCATTTTATCAGCAACGCTGATTTTTGTGCTTCTTATCTCTGCTTACTCATTTTTAACTATTAAAGACAAAACTAAGGAAATTGTTTTTTTAAATGCCTGTGGTTTTTTTTGGCAAATTTATTTAGCGGATGGCTTCTCTAAGTTCGTTCTCTCTATATATCGTAACGACACCGCAAAGTGGTCCATTGGGTAGTCAATTCAGCGAGGCGACCGAGATACTTTACTAACTACAATCCCGAAAGGGTTAATTTGGTGGAAACTATTTTGTACTGTGTTATTTTACTTCACCCCTCTGTGCACTGCTTTTAGGTTTGTCTCATTCGCTCGATACGATCTCAAGAATTTCCAGTTTCAATTTTTTTCAGATGAATGTAAGTCAAATACAGAAAACTCTGAGCGGCCAATCTATCAAAAAGAATGGGTCTGCGATCTAGCAGATCAAATGTTTAATTGCAATTTATCTTCCAACTAATTCAACTAAACGCTTCTCTCTCTCTCTCTCTCTCTAGAGAACCATAATCAACAAACCTCACGCTGTAATTCCACACAAATACTCAGTTCGGCCTGCTAAAATTAATAGTGTCTACGGATCGCTATTCGTTTGAGGTACTTTAACTGATTTCGCAAGAATCACTCTTCTCACTTCGTTGAGAACCAATTATCTACTGTATCTTCTATAGTTGTTCTCTTACTCCAAGAACCAACTATTTGACTCACTAGCAAAAATTGTTCTGAACCTTGAAGGCTCTTCCTTCAATTCCTTTTCTTTATTTAAACTTGGTTTTAGTTAAGTCACACCATTCCCTATCAGTCCTGGCATTCACTTAAATTAATCGCCCGCAGATGTTTTATGACTAAGTCCCTCCCCCTGTATACACTGTCAAATGTCAAGTTCGGTTTCTTTTATCAATCTCTTCTCGCTGATTAGATACTCGGTATGAGGTAGGTGGCACAATTTGACCGAGCAAACAAATGTCATACGATCCTAAACCACTAATTCCTGACCTCCGCGAACTCTAGCCCTTGATTTCAGTTCAACCTCTAAACCATGCTACTTTCATACAGCGAGCCTCTAAAAATCGTTGCTTAATTTATCCCGTTAAAATTTCGACCCCCCAGAGGTATGGGGATGCACTTTTCATGGGTAGCTCAATCATTCCAAGCATCTAAAAGTTTTTTCTGTACTCTATTCAATTTCCAACCTTCTGGCTATCAGGCGAACGTAGTTAATCTGTTAGGGGTCAAATTAGGCCAAGAATCACCTCGGGGGAGCTAAGTAAGTTTCCTGTCCATTCATGTTTTTTAGGAGACTTAGTTTCCACGCCGTGATCTTTTTACTGCCAATGTCCTTTTGTTTAGCTTAGGTGAATTGCCATTAATAGATAATTCGCCAAGCTAAGCTGAGTCCAGTGTTTACGAAGTCCACTTTGAAACAACTCTGCTACTCCAAGATTGCAAATAAAAGTTTTGTCGCGATCAGTTTCTGCTTCAGATCCCAATAGATAAGTTTCTTCCCAAATTTTAGTAAGGTGACCGGTTTCTATTTCCATGGGTTGGGCTTGGGGATACGTCCCTTTCCGGTGTTAATTCAGGGGCTTTGCATGCAATTTTTGGTCCGAAGATCAACTTAAGGTCACCCAAGGGTCACCAGGGTCAAACTCCCTTGGACAATGTTAGGGTCTCATGGCGGTCCTTACTACCAAGTTTTTTTCATTTCCCTTTAATACTTCTCATTTTTATAGAGTTACCCTATTTTAAAGGTCCATTATCACTTCTCCTGGGAAAAGGCTATTAACACCGGCAGGAGTTGCCGAATGGGTTTTACTCACTGGGTTTTTTCCGGCGTCGGGGATGAGCATCTACTGCCGCTTTAAAATCAGTATGGGCCCCGCTCATTCATTTGGGTAATTTGCCTATTTCCAGTCTGAGGTGGTGTTTTTTTCAAGTTCTCATATCTTCGGTTTCAACGTTTTGAAATGGTTCAATTTATAGCACAAGATGTATCTTGCCAATGCCTATGATCCAATCTGCGTTCCTTTTGGGGCTGAGAAACGACTTCCGGAAGTTACGCTAGGGTCTGTTTATTTAGGGCATAGAACCGGAAGTGGGTGTCCAGGGGTTCTGGGGTTCTACACTTAACCTTACCTTAACTAGACTTACAACATACTAAAATTTGATTCTAATACTACTGCTAGTTGCCGAGTTCTTATAGGGCCATTTACACTTTCAGGAACCATTATCACTTGCCCTTCATGGGTCTGAGGGATCCCGTTTCTCGCATGCAAGGGTCAAGTCGTCTCTAGCACCGCCACTTTGAGTTTGATAATATAAGCTTTTTTAGTTACCATTTGGGTGGTGGGGGAAGTTCGCCTATTTTTTTTTCTGGCATAGGATGGACTATATCTTCAAAGATTCAAATTATTTTGAGCTCGACCCTTTGTTTGCTGTACTACTTAGCTTAAGGACTAATTAATCTTACGCTCAGATTACTATAACTTTTAATACAGTAGAATCGCTAATTCTTCGCATTTCTTTTCAAATAGTGTTTTTTCTTCAACTCGTGTTGTTTTCCATGCTGGTTTTTTGTTTTTCGCAAATGGCCTCGGCGTGAATTTTTTTCTTCAAGTTTTTATTTAGATTCCAAGGCACAAGATCGTTCAAACGTTACTACATGTGCTTGTACATGCATCATGCTTTGAGTTTATCATCTTAATGCAGAATATTTATTCATGAGTTTATATTTATACTCAATCGCACAACCATATGAGGAATAACCTTTCTTTTGCTGGCATACATAGCAAAAGGAAAATAAGACTAAGCATTGCCATAATAAGTTTGTGGTATCTACTTTGACAAAATTGAAATTAGAGAACCCATTGTTGGAACCGAAGCGAAAACAATGGTGTTTGACATTGTGTTTTATATAGACAAAAATGTTCTCAATGCAACTTAACTTTACGATCTATGGACCATTTATGGTGGTTATTAGATTTTGCCGTTCTTAGATGATTCATCTTCATGAAACCAATTTTATAAGTTTCAATTTTTGAAAAGTTTTGGTTTTGGAGTCGCTTTTTGTTTGGAGTTTTTTTGGGGCTAATTTTTCATCATGTACAACGACGTGATCTCGTTTGGGTTCAGCGACACTAGCTGGAGTTTCTGCGAAATAGTCCTCGTCATCTTCACCAGTATTTCCTTCCTCCCATTTCTACTGCTGGCTTTATACATGTTCCTACTAGTAGCCGCTAATGAGAGTAACTCCCTCGGGCTACATGGGGGAGTGCAGGGCATATTCTGCTTCTACTACCTTCGAATCAGAGGTCAGTGCGTCATAACTGATTAATCACGATGTTTTATAAATGAGTGCCGCCAGTTTATACGAAAGTGGTTTTATCATTACAGCTGTTTTTTTTTTTACTGAATCCGCCCAAAATAGATTTAGATCGGATTATTTAACAAATAGACGCGTGGCCCTAGCTTGCATTTGGTATCGCTTTGAACCATTCAAATTTGAGAATTTCCTTTTCTGCTTGCAATGTTGTTCCGACAATTGAAAATGGTGAGGAAATTCGTGTTCGGTTGTGTATTATAATTTGTTTTCCCACGGAAAATCAGGTACCACAAATAATCATCGGACTGTGATATCATATTAAAGCCTTTACACTCGCGATTTGAGAAAAACCGGTTTGAAATTTTTGATTTTTTGTCTTATTTCGAGCAAATAGAGCGAGCGAGCAGTCTTATTTTAACTGCTTAAAAGCGTACAATAGCTTAATTTAAAACGTGAAAACTCAATTTCACTTGAGTAACGTTAGCTTCCTTTGAGTATTTTAGCGCCTTTTTGGAATCTAAACTTTCAAAAGTTCAAAAAACTACAAAACTAGAATTTTTTTTTTCGTTTTCTGTAATAATTAAAAAAAAATTTTTTTGAAAAATTGTTTTTCAATTTGCTCAATTTGCTATGATTATCAATTGTACCTGATCTCCAGTTTTTTGTTCGGCTCCTTTCATCACACCACGAAAACCGACGAAAAAACGACATTAATTTGGTTACTTTTTGTTCTATTTTTTTTAAGACTATGGTCAGAACATTCTGTGTCACTTGTACGGTAACCGGCTTGCTTAAGATATGCAATTGAGGCTAGCCTAGTAAATTGAACCCTCATTTTACTGCCAATTCAGACCGGGCCCGTAACTGCTGTGTGCATCTTTCAAGTATACGCCCTTACGATCACTTTTTCGGCAATTTAGCTGCAAAAATAGTTTGAAATTCTCGTACGTTATCACCTAATACGTGGTTTAATTAAAGCTCGATCATAACCAAAATACGAAAAATATACGCATCTGCTAATTGTAAAAAAAAAATGCGGACAATTTTTGTGAGTTTTAAAACAACTCTAGAACACCTACGTTAAAGAAGAAAAAAAAGTTAAAACGTTAAAATACCCATTGTAATCCTCACCACTTTTATCCTTATGTAAAAATCAATTGTTTTGGGAAAATGATGCATCAGGTTTTGCGATCAGGTTATAAGTTTAAGTTCGAGAATGATTCGATAAATTGATGATTTTCAGGCTTTTGGTATTGGTTAAATTTTTTCTAAATTTTTACACCGGCTGAAAATGTCTGGAAAACTAGGCCATATTAGTCAAAAGACGTCTGATTATTTGCGGGCTTTTGAAGTTCATTGAATTATTGCTGGTTTTTGTTCATTTTGGAATGATTAATTGAAAACATTGGCAAAGCCATATCATTTCGGTAATTCATTGAAATTACCGAATTTAATTTTAGTTTGGGTCTGTTCAAAACTTACGCGAATTAAGTAGCGCGAAATTGTCTGGCTTTAAATGGCAAAAATTTCTTCTTTCAATTCGTTGATGTTTGCCGAATTCACCTTTGGAGTAAGTTTTCTTTTCATTTTGGATTAAAACGGTGTTAAGTCATCGAAATGGTTTTAAAATGTAGCGATGTAAAGGCAAAAAAAGTAGGGAGTTAAATTGTATGGTGTTAAATTGTTTAGAGTTAAAAAGGGAGGAAACATCTGCGATGTAATTTCAATTGAGTATGTATGGAAAATTTAAGAAAAAATGGGATATCATTAACTAAATCTCCCCTTTTGCGTTACTAGCTAAAGAGATTCGTTACTAGCTATAAAATTCTCATATGCTTAACCGCTGATTTTTTTCTTTATAGGGGGCGTTTTTGTTTCTAGGTTCCCGAGGGAGGATATAATTTAAGAGATCGAAAAGTATCCATGTCGCGTTTCTATTGACATTCTAAGCAGCACACTTCTCTGACCGATCAAAAATTTGTTCAAATTTTACACTGATATCCATCCATAAACTACCAAAAACCATATAAAATCACTGGCTCTAAGTAGGGTGTATTAAACTGAATTAGAGTTTTAAAACGAAAAAGTCTGAGTGGAAAATAACCTTATGCCTTAATTTTTTTAAGGCATAATTTATTAACATGCTGCTTAAATTTAAAATTATTGTCTTCAGTTATCCTGCATTCCAAAATTGTTGTTTTGCCAGGAAATTTTTTGCCATAATTGATGCCATTGATTTTCTGGAAATAAACTCAATACGTAAGCCTTGCACCTGTCCTATATATTCAACAACTAACCAAGAAGTTTTTGATATAAAGATGTTTTTGAATCATTGGTTTTTTTGTGATAGCATGGATAAATGAAAGGTTATTTTGGAAATCAATTGTTTTTGGATGAAGTATTTTATAGTCGCAAACGATCGTTTGTAAATCAGATTTTCGAAAAATTTGCTGAAAAATGGGACAATATTTGTGTGGATCATTATTTTTTTCTTC